ACTCAGCAGAAAAAAAAAACAATGAAATCTTGAAATTTGCAGGCAAATGGGAATTAACTTTTGAATAGGATAATAAGAAACAAGTAGGATTTGGATGTGGCTAAAGCACAGAATTAAGATGAAGGATCTTTAGAAGAATTTGAGTATCAGTACCGAAACAACAACAAAAAAACCTTGCTAATAGAGTGATGATATAACACACCTTTAATCCCAGCACTCTGGAGGCAGATAGAGGTGGATCTCTGAATTTGAGGTCAGCCTGAGGGCAGTATGGTCTACAGAATGAAGTTCAGGAAAGCTAGAGTTACAAAGAGAAACCATGTTTCAAAAGGACAGACAGACAGACACACACACACACACACACACACACATACACACACACACACACACACAGAGAGAGAGAGAGAGAGAGAGAGAGAGAGAGAGAGAGAGAGAGAGAGAGAGAGAGACCTGCTTAAGGTAGCATAGTTGATGATGGAACACCATTTGAAGTTAATAAGGCCATCATATTTTACAGTGAGGCATGAATATACAAATATCTAACCAATTTTATAGTTAGCTGGTTTAAATTTAAAATTAGAATCTATAGAGGAATATTTCATGCAAAATAAAGAGTAAAATTACAGCAAATTTCTAATTTTTCACTGAGGAAAAATAGCTTTAAGAAAAAAATACTTTCCTTATTTGTAAGTTGTAAGTGAAGGATAGAGCTCATTACTGGAAAGGCGAGAATGTGGATAATGCTACCTTTTTCTAAGTCTTGCTTATTTATACTTCATGTTATTCATATTTCATATCTCTTCCACAAACATGTATTGATTTCATTAATTCCTTGTTCATGACTTCCCAAAAGGTAGCATCCATCTCAGAGTTCAATTATCCAAGAAAAATAAATTTCTCTAGCACAGCCTTAATATGCCTGGATCTGCCAGGTAAATAATCTGTCATCTACACTCAGATCAAAAATTTCCATTTCCATGCAGTAGCATGAAAAGGGAAGTCTCAAATGCAAAGATCCCAGTCATTTCTCAAGTGCAGATAATCAAGATTTCCTAGCCTATTTTTAAAGAGCAGGGCAGCATGGAAGGTGTGCCAACTGTATTCTAGTGGGTGGTGGTACTCTGGGGCAAGCTCGTTGCTCTCTGTTTTCTACTGGTCTTTGCTGAGGGTGAGCATTTCCAACAGACATGGACTACCACACTTGTCACTATGGCATATATTACTTCCAGTGCCTCAAATTTTCAGCCATTCTGTTTTAGATTCTCCCTTTAAACCAAAGCTTTTCTGATTGAATGGCTCACTCAGCCATTTCTGAGTCAATGAAGCTATGGTAAAGAGCAATCTGTTGCCTTCTTGGAAGCACTTTAGGCTGAGAAACTATTCAGCTTTCCCAGCTTAACCACAGCTCAGCCTTTGCAGCTTTGTCTCTTCTACATTTGGTGTGAGGATGATGGGAGGATGCTCTACCTGCTCACACAACTGGGAGAAAGTAGGAGGCTATTTTCTCTTTGACACACTCATCACTGACTTAGAATTCTAATAACCACCTTCATAATTCCTGGTACTTCATTCTCACAAGTTCCATTAAATCTTTTTCTGTCATAATATATGTTCCTTTTGATTCATGTTTTCTCCATTGGACATACATCTTTGGGATCATTTTCAAAACAGTTGATCATCATGTCTTCTTTGTGCTTCAATCCAATTATTTTTGTTTCATGCATCCCTGACTTTAAAAATATCTGTTCCAAGAAATACATTTACTTGGAGCTTATTGTAAAATAATGTATAATATTAACAGAAATGTAAAACTTTGACAAGGCTCCCTTCTGCATTTTGTTTGCCTATATATTTGTGTGATTTTTTTGCAGTGCAAATTTGTTGTGCATGATATTTTTAAGAGGAAAAATATCTCTAAGTGTGTGTTGCATTATTTATTTTTCTGTTGAAATTTTCATGTTTCACAATTTAACTTTGTCAATGATCTGTCACAAAAATGTACATAAAGTAATTGAAATGGTTGAAATGTGATTGTTATGGCTATATATTAACCAAAATTCAGTCATGAAACAACATTTGGGCAATATAATGTAATTTTGAACAACTTCTGTTTCCTATATCCCACACTCTTTATAAATAAAGAAAATATTTCTTGAATCTGTATTAACTCTTTGTTCTATAAAACATATTAAAAGGTGGCCTGCTTTTAATGCACTGTCTTAAATGATAATGCTACCTTTGTAACTGGGAAGAAAAACTAAAATAGTTGTTCTCAATATAATTATTAAAAAATAAAATTAATACCTGCTTGTTAGTTGAAGCCATAATGTACTTACATATATTGGTTAACTATAATTTTCTTATTTTAATCTGGAAGTCTTTTAGAATGAGCCATCACTCTTACTCACAATACATCTAACATGGTCTCTGTTGCAGGTTACTTAGTTATAGAAAATCCATCAAGTAAGTTTGTGAACTTTTTCGCCTTCATTTTGAATATCAACTTTAGATTTACTGGCTCAATGACTCTTAATGTGTGGCTCTCTTTCTGAGTGTTTGCTGGAGAAACCTTTAAGCTGGGTATAAATCATAAAAGCATGACTAATTGCATGGTAACTGGAGAAATGCTTTCTCTCTCTCTGGGGTGAAGCCTGCATGTCTGTATTTTAACTTGGGAAGTAATATGGGGGATATTTAAACTCCTTTGGGCTTAAAAGCCATATCATTATGAGAATGAGGTCACTGCAATATTTTATATCTTCTAAAACCTTGTAATGTGTAAAGTTCTTCTATATGACAAAGAGATATTATGTGCATTTAAGAGTCAATGATAACTTCATGCCCTCACATTTACTTGAAAACTTGTGTTCATTAAAACAATACTAAATCTTTCCTTTGAAGTCACTGAAAAATTGAAAGAATTTTGCGTGATGAATGCAAAGAAAGTGAATTTAAAGAGGAAAAGCTCCTCCTGTAAACAGGGCAGGGTGACTTTAAAGGACTGTGTGACTGGGGTTTTACAGTGTCTTTGTTGCTTAAATGTTAATATTGCAATTGGTGCCCAAGCTTTCCCTTAAGATAAAGAAAACAAGCTAACATGGTTTCATTTAATACCTTTCTCTATTTGGAGGCCAATAAGCAAGAAATCCTTCCTGCAACATGTAGAAGAGCTTTGCACAAACAACAACCTAAAGTTTCAAGAGGAATTTTCGGTATGTTACCAGCAGTTGTCACAACATTGCAAGACCTCTGGTAGTTTCCTGTGTCACATTTCATGTCCATTTTAAGCATGCAAGGCCATGAAGACTCTAGCCTTGATAATCAATACCCAATTACCAGGTTGATTGTTTAGATAGTAATGTTACCCTGTGTGGCCTCTGGTGCAACCTCATCGGAGTATTCACCTACTGTGTTAGGAGAAGGTGATCTTCTTCAGGTCCCAGATCCCTGCTCTTTCATCCTGATGGAGGTAGAAATGCAGAATGCTGGATTTATTAGTTTATATTTATGAGCATTAGATCAAACTGTAAGTGTAGTTTACATTGAAATAATTGTGTTAGATTTAGGCACTTAATGATTACATGTTGCATTTTATTAGAAGTATATTGAATACCAAATATAATGAGTGCTACTTAATATACATTTGTGGTGTAAAATCATCAGAGAACAAAGAAGAACATTTGTAGAAACTGCAAATATTACAACTTCTAGAAGTATCACAATACAGATAAATAATGTCTACATCCAATATGATCTATTTCTAAGTTATTATTAAATAAATGCTTTATCCTACATGGAGATATGTAAAACTAAGAACCTCACTGTTTAAAATACTTTAAAGCTGAAAAATAATTTCACTTTTTAGCAATTTTCTCATGTTTCTTTTGCTATATTTTTATTAATTAGCTGAGTATTATGTATCAATTAAAATGAAGTTATTTAGAAACACAAAGGTTATATTGTGTAGGAGGAGGCATACAGACTTCCTCCTACAATATTGGATGCATAATTTTGACTAATCTTTGAAGTCAAGTTTTATTTTCTTGTTCTTTAGTTCTTTATTAGGGTTTTTAGTATGGAACAAAATGTGCTTGCTATGTTAGTACTCATCAGTTTAGCATTTATGAGCTAAATGACTTTAGACAAGTTACTTAATCTCTCTGCCCCTCAATGTCTTCATTTGTAAAAAGATAATATTGATCTCACTGAATGGGGAATACTGAAGTTACCTGGTACAGAATGTGTGGAAAGTGATTGGCACAAATATCAGTTACTATGATGGTAATCTCTACCACACATAAACTCAGATTAGAATAAGAACTGTGGAGATGAGAGACACATTTCAAGCAGAACACATGTACCATGATTGAGAAGTGCATGAACATGTGAGGATCAATGATAAATGCTAGTAAGGAAAGGCTAATAAAAGTGTTGATGTCTCAGACAAATGGTAGCATGAGCTGAATTCCAATGAGAAGATGAAGGGGGAACTATTCTAGAGAGAATAAATAAAAACAAAAGCATGAGGAGGGCCAAGTAATCTTCCCCTCTTGTTCCCACGGAGAAGACATTAAACAGGAGCAGAAAAATCTACCAACAAAATACCACTGAGGCTCTATGTCTTAATAAGAATAAGACCACCCAGTATCATGATACTATTCAAGCCATCAGCCTGGTACCTGATAGTTGGTTACCAAAGCCATAGTCACTTAAAACTATAAATGGAAACTTGTACATGAAATAATTCCAAACTGTATCATTTTCAAGTCAATTTCCAATACACCTTTCCTCTTTCTGCCACTTTCAATACTTCTAAAACCTTGATACAGGAAGACTATTCAGGGTTTTTTAATTTTATTATTTTTATAAGCCTTGTTGCTTATACTTTGTCTTGCCCATGATATAGATACATATGAGAGGAACCCTTTGTGATCTCTTTTTTTTTTTGGAAGGGAGAAAGAGAATTTTTGAATAAAAAGTAGTAATTTATAACTACATTAAAATGGAAAACACAGTTTATTATCTTTACAGAAGTTGGAATAGTTTCATGAATGGCAATTTAGTCCAACTAAATAATCAATACATTTTCTTCCACCAGCTTCCTTAACAATGCATTAGAAAGAGCAAGACAGACTGCAGAATATTTCTTTCAAATATCAACAGTAGGTCTTCCCAACCCAACCCATCATCTGTGTCAGATCATTCTAAACTACACCTTTGCATTCCACTATCAATTTAACAAGGCCAACAGAATGCGGTAGCGACCTTTGACATCTTCTGAAAATGACCAGGGTTGCACCAATTAATAGGCATGAAATCACACTGTCTGGGGAGAAAAAACAAAAAATAAATCATTCAACTCCCTTCTTCCCTCTAAAGAGGCATTAACATATTAAGTAACAGTTGTGTGCACCTGATGAGGCTGTGGGTAGCATGTGGCACCTTCGTACTCTCCAGAGCTCAATGAAATTTCTCAAGGGAAAGCCATAATCTGGCTGGTAAAAATCATTCAGAGTAGTAATAGTGACATTTAGGGAAAATCATTACTATTCATTTGGTCCTGTTCCAATATATATGATAGGAATTTTAATTTTTTTCTAAAATGTGATCTTGGAGAATAGTTCTGTGATAGATATTGCATGCCAAGGACAAGGCTCAGCATTCAATCCTGAGAACCAGTGACATGAAATTAAAAATAATAAAAACAAAACCACCTATTGCTGGAATGATTGTTCAGTAGAACAACCCTGCAAGCACGAAGACATGAATTGGATGCCTAGAACTTACACAAAAGCTGTCCTATAGTGGCAGGCATTTGTAATCCCAGCACTGGTGGCATGGGCACTGATAGATTCCTGAGGATAGCTGACCAGACAATATAACTTACTTGGTATGCCTTGGACCAATGAGAGATCCTTTGTTTTCTAAAAATGACAAAATAAAATTGGCCTGTGATAGTTGAAGAAGGACACCCAAGGTCTCCTATCCTACAACATGTAGATGCACACACACACACACACACCACACACACACACACACACTTGAATATACATACATAAACTAAATAAATGAAGGGTGTAAAATAAGAAATTGTATTTCACTAATCAGAATTTCATATTTACCAAGTTTAAACTTTACAACAACTTTGTTTTCACAGGAATTACCAAAATTTCTTCAAGATCTTTCTTCAACTGATGCTGATCTTCCTTGGAACAGAGCAAAAAATCGCTTTCCAAACATAAAACCATGTATGTGCCATTCTCATTTATGTTCTGATTAGGAAATATGTTAAAATGCCGACCATCTTAAATTTTGCATTTAGGTTTCTCTTCCACATTAATTGAGCTACAATAATACACCTCATTAATGGTGACTTTCAAGTTGTATCACATTTGCTTTGTTCCTAATTATTGAAGTTAATTTACATGGTTTTCAGTTTGTTCACAAGGTTCATTTATGCAGGTGCAAGAAACTGTGGATTGACCTGCTTCTTAGCTTTGTAATTCAACTCTTTTAACATCTTCCTATTGAGCATGTCTCAAAAAAGAAGTGAAATTCACACTTAGCTTTGTGTATTAAATTTCCTTAAGAGCCCAGTACTCTTATGGAACATTAAAATGCCTTGCAAAATAAAAGTTGATGATTAGAGTCAACACATGTTTACTGGAATTATTTATGTAGAGAGGCAGAAGTGTACCTTGCTGTAGGACAACTCCATTTATCAATTCAAGGAAAATAAAGTGTTACTGTTTTAAGAATTAATGATGGCTTATAGAGGAGGATTTGATAACCCTGTGTTACTAATATGTCTGTTTTTGTAGTCTTTCAAAACATGTGCCTGTTTAATAGAATTCTAACCCAATGCATTTTATGTTAAGAAATTAAGAATATTGATGCCTTGAAGCTTTGTTCCAGTGGATATTGGGAAGCAGGCTGGGTGATTCATCCCTGTAATTTCAAGTAATTAGGAGGCTGAAAGTTAGAAAACAGCTTTCTCTACCTAAGGAATTCAAGACCCACCCTAGCAATGTAGTGAGGTCCTGCCTCGATCTTTAAAAAGGATTCGCAAAGAACTGGGAATATAATTCATCCATAGAAGGCTGTCCAATATGTACAAGTTTAGTGTTTCAACAAACAAACAAATAAACATATTGAGGAAATTCCTACAGCCCCTTAGCTAGGGAAGTGTTAATTTATAGGAGACTGTAATCCCATAAAGAATTTAAATAGGAAGAAGCAGAACAGAGGCTGATACTAGACGATAAATTATTCACGAAGGCTGCAGAAGAATTTAGAGGATTGTGATATCAGAGGTTACAAACCACACTTGCAGTGTCTAGGAAGTTGATCAGAATGGAAAACAAATGGTATCCACTGGAGATTCCTTCTGTAACAAAACAAATCAGAAGAAAATGACTTCAGCAGCAAGATGCCAAACTGTGATTTGAGAAGTAAAGAATATAATTGATAATCTCTAAATGTCTGAAGTCGTGACACTTTTTAACATGCTTTTTATTCTAACCTTGGGAAAATTATCTTGAATTGAATACAACTTAAATTTAAGTGGGAATGTCTGTGTTGTTAAATGTATTTGCACTAAATTTCTTCTAAACTGCTTGCAACATGCTTATTTCGGTGACATTCTGTGTAAATAAATATTATTATCTTATCAAAAGGCGACTACCACAATTCATTAGTATTTCATAGAAAGTAGGGACTAATTTGCAACATGTCATATAAAGTAACTCAAATGAGTCTGATTTCTAAGAAGTTTCTCACTTAAAGTTTGAAAATTTGAGTTCTTTGATAGTTTGTTATAACGTTTCCTTCTCTTGTAGTGAAGATCTTGGTTATTAATCTAGCCCCCATTTTGGCTGAAAGAAAATTCAGGCCATCAGCCTCTATTTTATGATGAGAAGGGAACAAGGGTGGTTGATAGAAGTAAATGACCAGACTCAAACTAATAAAAAGGAGCAGAGAAAATAAATGTCTCAAACCTCCATTCCGAGGCTAAGACAAAAATAATGAGAATTCCTGAGATGCAGCTCTGTTTGTTGCTGCCTGTGTTTGTGACTACTGACATACTACTATTTGTCTGTCTATTCATTGTAAGACTAATAGATTCAGTAAAAAAAAGTCACATAAATCAATACTTTGCCAAATATTGGAACAAAGAAAGCATTCAGCAAATGTTAGCCTTCATGATTAGAAATCAATAGATCGTTTCCTTTCAAATGCTAATAACTTTCTGAGTGGACAAGACTGTGATACCTTCTGGGGCACTGAATTCTGAAGACAGCAAGACCCCGTCCCTAGCTAGGGCTAGAAGTCTATCTGTAACGTCACAGCCATATCTGTAGGAAGGACAGCATATTTTCACACACAAGCTCACACAGACATAGATACACAAATGCTAGGCGAATGACCAAGATTTTGTGACTGTGTGTTTCCATTGTGCTTGCACAGGATCCATAAAACTGGAAAACTATGTCTTTCATCATAGTGATTGAATACATTTCAATACAATTTAAAGTTTTACTTGAGCCAGCTTTGAGTGGTGCTGTGTTTCCCCTGAGTAATGTCAGAAAGAGAATTTCAAATATCACAGTGCCTTTTGGAAGATATTAGCTTACAGGGCTTTAGGATGCTAGAATTAGCAGCAAATACTTGCAGACGTGATTTCCAAATCTCTGTCTGACAGGACATTCTGACCTTAATACTCCAACACCATGAGAAAAAGTTTAGCGTCTTATTGACTTGGCTTGTTTTAAGCAGGCATATCGAGTGAATAGCAGCCTGATGGCTTCCCCTCCTGAAGTACAAGACAAGCTACAATGTCATTAGGCAGATCTTTAAAAACTCAGTAACTCTGACAAATACGAATTTGTAGAAATGTATTTAAACACTAGCAATCTCTAAACTTCAATACATTGATTATAATTTCTCATGCTGTAACTAAAACAGTTTAAATAATTAATATTGGCATATGCTTAAATTGGAGAACCTGAGAATAGTAGTGAATACTACATGTAAGCCTTCACATTTTTTTCAAGAGAGTTATATAAAATAAATATTATAACTGCATGGTACAGTTAAGGCCAGTAAGAACCAGAGAAGCTAACTGGCTCACTCAAGACTAAGTAAAAATTCACAGCCAATCCTCTTATGTATCTTCTATGAAGACCACAAAGACTTTCTTTTCTATTCCCTGTGCTGATGACCCAGAGCCCTGAAAAAGCTAAACAAACATCTACTGGACCACTTAGCTGCACAACCCTGCCAAACCTGTGAATTATTCAAAGGTATTTTGTGATTCCTGTGTTTAAAGTTATTGGTAGACATTGCAGTTATAAAATAAATTGGTAGAAACTTCTTTTGGAAGAAATCACTACTGGGTACAGAATGTCTAATTGATGAAGGTATTTCTTAAACATAGTCTCAAGAAAAATAACTAGAAATTTTATATGAAGAAAGATAAGGAAGGTAGTATGAAAGAATAAATGGTTTAAAATTAGACATAAATATATGGATAATCTAGTATATGATAAAAGTAATATTTTAAATCAAGTAAAAAGGAATGGAATATGTTTTAAATGGGACATAAATCTCACTTATTTAAAATACATGAGTATGTGAAGGTCTGAAATACTGAAATGAAAACAAGATAAATGCATTCAACTTTCAGAAGAGCCTATGGATGAACTTGTATAAAAATAAGAATATTAGCATAATGAACACCCTAAGAAATGTTAAAGAACGTCTCAAAGTGTGTATTGGTAAGATTAAGAGCACCTGTGATTTGGAATTTTACTTTTGGCAATTGCTGTACAAATGCAGTTTTACATCTATGTCATTAGCTCTATTATGTTTTCCAGCATATTGAATAATAAATGGGGAACAATTTAAATCATAATTAAATAGGATATACTACATTAAAATGCTGTACACACACCAGATACAATTGTGTAGAAAGATTAAGTAAATATAAACAGTTTTCAGGAGATAGCATAGGGCACACCATTTGTAGTTAATTTGTAATGATATGTGTAGGAATTCTAGAAATACATGCAATATTTTATTAGTTGATATTTTTGTAGTAGAAATATGGGACATGAGGGAATGTTTTTTCAATGTTATAGTTCTTATATGAATTGGGATTATTACATCATGAACTTTTATACTATTTTCATAGCACAAAGGTCTTACCAATTTAAAAATCCTATTATGATTTTTTCCTCAGACAATAATAACAGAGTGAAGCTGATAGCTGATGCAAGCATTCCAGGATCTGATTACATTAATGCCAGCTATGTTTCTGTAAGTTACTATTTTCATAGATAGTATATTTTGATGGAGCATGAATACTAAAATTTTCAAATATTTAAGACAACAAATTCATTAAAACACTATAGAGTGGAAAATGACATCTTTCTAACAGCAACCACTCATGCATACCTATTTCAGAGATGCAGGTATGTAGGGTTTTAATTCATTATTTATTTCACTAGTTTGTGCAGATGGAAAATTTCTTCTTACTCTACTTGACCTTCGCAGCGTTTCACATACATTGTTAATGTATTCTCTGACCACAAGGTCAACTAATCTCTCTGTCAATGAAGTATCAGTCAAATTGACAGCCATGTTCATACAATGTAAAAACTTGTTATATACCTTTCCTTTTGAGATAGAGAGACCATCAAAGGAATGATGATGATGTAAAATGTATACTCTATCTAGCCACTCAGTAAATACACATGGATCACCATGGGGACAATTGTGACGTACTCAGGCATATCAGAGATGATCAGTCTTATTGAGTCAGACTGAAAACTGAATGAAGTCAATTTGTTCTCTATCCCTATTTTTCTCTGTGGTTCTTCGTTCTGCCAATATTCTTTACTATACTGGTACTCAGACACCTCTGTTCATCCAGGACGGCAGCTTGGCTGACACATTCTTACAGTCTTATAATGGGAAAAGCCCTTTTGGTCATTTAATGGGACATTCACCTTGCAATGTTTTCTAAATATCCTTGGGAATTAATTGTTAGTGTTCCCAGACAGCAATTCATTAATTTTCTCCTAAGGTTGATGGCTTTATCTCTAAACAGCTCTATTATGCAATTTCAAGGTAGTCCCTTTATGTTTTTTTTTCTACTGGCTTCAGCTGGAATGGGGAGATTAATCATTGTCACCTCATGAGCCTACAGATACTCAAAGGTTTCTGCTGCTATGCACACTCCTCAGTTCTATACTATTCTTGGGTATTTTCCTATTCAATGACCTGCTACTTCCTTCAATTTATTGAAGTCCTTCTATGATACTTGGTTCTTTTCCTTACGTCAAACAGACTTCTGTTGTATTCATTGTTTCCAAACTTCTGTAAAGTGGGGTGTGTGTGTGTATGTGTGTGTGTGTGTGTGTGTGTGTGTGTATGTGTGTAGACTTCATTATACTTCCTTACTAGTCAATGTTATGATTCTATATTGGGTCTTGTTGACAATGAAACAAACAATAGAGAAGTAAAGAATTCTTCACACATCTTATTAGGCACCAAAATTGGATGAAATCCATATCTTCACTAAACTACCAATTTTGGTGCTAGATCTCTATTAAAATGACCATGCTAATTTACTATTGTAATGTTTTACTCATTCATCAAATAAATGATTGAATCTTTGGAATATACAATTCTTCTCTACATATTATAGAGAAGCTTTATGCTTACTAATTTTAATTGTAGGCTAGGTCCTACAATCTATAGAAGTCCCACTTTGTGCAATAACACCTAGATATCTAGATTTTTAAATATAAACACTGTTCTATTGATCAAATGCCTTGCAGTGTTATAGAATAGGACAAAGCTAAGTCCTCACACCATTTTCAACTTGCCAATAAGTAGATCTACATCAGTACCTTGTTTCTGTAACGTTATTTCAAGTGTGAAACAAATGACCAAAAAGGAGATGATATGGGTTCACAGAGATGGAAGTGGCAAGCACAGGGCCTGCAGGGGCCTTCACCTGGTCCTCTGTTAGATGTGTACTCTTTCCTGACAGCTGCCTGGGTCCCACCGTCTCAGCCCCCAACTAACACAAGACACTCCATGAAGCTGTTGGGCGTTTGCTATAATTTCTTAATGGCTAGTTCTGACTTAATTATTAACCCACAATTACTAATATATATTTTTATAAGGTCTTATCTTACTGAGGACACAGCTTCATATGCCCTCTCTTCCTGGGATCACATGGCAATTTCCCAATCCCAGCATCTTCCTCGACTCCTAGCCCCACCTATCTTGCTTCCCTATTGGCCAACAGTGCTTTATTCATCAACTAATATGACAATATACACAGAAGGACTTCCCCAAGCATCTCTGACTATATCTTATGACTGTTAGCTTCATGTTTTTGTGTAACTCCTAATGGTAGAAATGAATGTGTCCCTGACTCTTGGGAGTCTTTTCCTTCTGTTAGGTTGCCTTGTCCTTTTGCCTTGTCTTATTGTATCATGTTGGGCTTTTTTCCCCGTTTGTTGTCTCTTAGAAGCCTGCTCTTTTCTGAAGGTGTGGATCTGGGAGACAGGAGAGGTCGGAGCAGGGACCTGGGTGGAGTGGAAGGAAGGGAACCTGTGGTTGGAATGTATTGTATGAGAGAAGAATCTATTTTCAATTTTAAAAAAGGAAAACTGTATTCTAGCAAGCATAAGTATACAGATCACACTGAAAAGTAATATTTATGAACTTCTAGTGTTCTCTCTAAATTTTATAGTTGTCAGAAGGCAACCAATAGCAAGTGATAAGGTTGGGGAGATGACTCAGTAGTTATGAGCACCTGTGGCTCTTGTAGAAAACTCAGGTTCTACTCCAGCACCACATGGTGGCTCATAAAAATACCTTTTCTAAAGGCTGCAGCAAGTTTGAAGAGGTTAGCGTGTATAAGCAGCTAATCACACTGTGTGTTACCTCAGAAGCACTTAAGGAATGTATGTTACTTCTATTATAGTGGGTGTTTAGTTATAGTACATTTTACACTTCGTGGCTAATAACCAAGAGGCAAATCTTAGAAACTAACTTAAAGGCAGTTGTAAAAACTGCCACGTAGGGTCAATGATGATGATGAGAGTTGAAACAGGCCATGAAACTCACACTTTTTTCTAATTATTATAGAGCTTTAAAACCAGTTAAACTATGTGTTTCACTTCATGGAAAGTTTACTAGCTAATAGATCTCTTCTCAGAGAAAGTGAGTTTCATACACCAATCCTCAAAACTAGAGGCTAAGTAGTCAAAAGAAGCAGCATGCTTTTCCAACTCTAATAAAATGTGAAGGAAGTACCTCGAGCATTTCCTCTTGTTTAGCATTTCACTGCTCCTTAGACTTCCTTTAAAATCATTGCTGTCACATATCTAATTATTCTCTCTATATAAAAAGCAAGGTATAATGGAGCTGTATATATGGTGAATTGAGGAAGAATTATATGTAGCTTATCTTTTACCATAACTAAGGAAAACTATGATGGTAACTATCTGCCTTCAACTCCATCAAAGGCCACAGAAGGATAATACCTGAAAACTAGGATTGACAGAGATATCTTACTGTCTGGACAGTCACCCGAAGTTCCTGTGTAATGTTGGGGGATCCATCTTCAGCCCAAGGCCACAATGTGTCCAGAAGATTTCTCAGCAAAGCAGGAAATTTCAAATTGTCCATCTGCATTGGCAGTCTGTCAGTCATTTCTCTGTGTCCTGCAGAAAGTCTCATAGACTCTTCCATGAAGCAGGAACCCTCTAGGACTGTTTGAGTTCAGCAGTTACTTTCCTGTGGGTTCTGCATGTCTGGTTTATATAGCAACGTCAAACAGTAAAGGCAAGAGAAGTTCTTGCCCAAATGGTTAATCTTGCCATGTTGAAAACAAACTCCATAACGAGTTTCTTCAATGTCTGTCTTCCTCTGATGCTGCAACGATAAACGGCACACTTACTGAAAGTAAAAACAAGTATTTATTGTAGAAAGTACTCACAAGAGACAAACAAGTAACCCAGATGAGCCTTGTAGTTTTCCGCCGCCGAACTGGAAGACAGAAAGCCAGAGAAGAGAGCTAGACCTCCGTTGTTTAGTCTTTTTTACCTTCCTCCGTAAGGCCCCTAGCCATGCCCAAAAGTGGGCCTGGCTAGTGACATAGTTCACCGCCTACGTCTGTATATGTCTTTAGTCATGCCTAAAGTGGGTGTGTTTAGCGGTGTGGTAAACCGCCCTTTTATTACCTCAACTGTATGTGCCTCTAATAAGTCACATGGCTAATGGCGGAGTTCTGTTTTCCTCCTATAGTAACATATGTGCAGAGAACCTAGGTCAGTACTATCCCAGCTCTCTCACTGTATGTTTAGGCTCTGTGAGCCCCTATGAGCCCAGGTTAGTTGATTCTAAGAGTTTTATTGTGGTGTCCTTGACTCCTCTGTCTCCTAGAATCCTCCCTTACTCTCTTCCACAGGATTCCCCAAACTCTGCCTAGTTTTTGACTGTGGAGCTCTGCATCTGATTCCACAGTTGTGGAATCAAGCCACTCTGATGACAATTGGACTAAGCAATAATTCATGAATATAGCAGAATATCATTAGACATCATTTCATTGACATTTTTTGCCAGTCATCTTTGGTTCTATCTTAGGTCTCAGGGCTATTCAGCCTCTGGGTCCTGGCCTTCCAGGCAGCATCAGGGGTGGGCTATTTCTCATGGTGTGGATCTCAAGCTGGACCAGTCATCGGTTGACTACTCCCATAATTTTTGCATCTAACTAGAATTTTAATCGTGTCACAGTCCCCTAACCCATTTGAGATCCTGCTCTTGGGATGATTTCATTTTTTTCTACCAGCTCCAAGGCATGTCCCAGATGTTCACCTCTATCTGATGGCTGTACTATTCACTAATACTGTGGATACAATGAAAAGGCATCCTGTTCGTCTCCATTCACAGATTGTCTTACTCTTTCTTCTGTGGCCAAGATAAACTATTCTGGTCTCTAATAAGGCAATTCCTACTCTCTAAGAACATAGGCTTGGGATTTTCTTTCTCTCTTCTGTCCCATTGGTGTTATTCTTTGAGAAACCAAGCAAACATATTGTGATTTCCTTCATCTCACAAAAAATTATGATATTATATCAGAGATTTCTAACTACTTCCAAGTTCATCTTGTTGTATCTTTCTTCTTCTGTTAAAGATTTAAAATTTTTTAAAAAGTTTATGCATATGTGTGTATGTCCATGTATATTTATATGTTTGTATACCTGAGTTGGGTGAGGTGAGGGCTACCAATGGTGTTCAAAAGAGGCCTGGAATACCATAAAGCTAGAGTTACAGGTACTTGTGAAAAGCCTGATGTGGGTTAGAAATTACACTCTGGCCCTCTGGGAGAGTTAAAAGCTCTCTTAACTGTTGAGACATCTCGTCAACCTTCCTTGCCCCCTTTTCAGTCAGGTTTCTTGTACTTCATGATGACCTGGAACTCTCTGTGTAACTGAGGCTGATTTCGAACTTCTGATCCTCCTGGTTCTATACCTCAAGTGCTGGGTTTACAAACCTACACCATCACACCCAACTTTTTCCTGGAGTACTCTGCTCCATTAACTCTAGGGTCACTTAAGGAATTGTCTGAGCTCACGTCTCATTCTTCTTCTTACTTATGTATTATTAAGACAGTTCAAATCATGCTTCCACGCCAGGGAAGCTCTACACAAAAACTTCTCCTTATGGATCACCAGTTAACCACTCACGAAGCTTGAATCACATGTGAGCATCTTCGAACCCTTTCATAGGATATGTCAGAAGTTCTGATTATTCCATCTACACCAAACTGATTGTCTCTCATCAGCTTTACCTGCAAGCTTTGGAACTATTTAGATCACAATCTTTGAATTTACTATCTCCTCCTTCCTGGTGATCTGATGAATTTAAATCAAATTATCTTTCTACTTAGAACTTCTTTGTTTTTTCCAAATGCATATGCCAACTTGAATATCTAATACTTCAAATTCAATGTATACAATTTGATTCCCTGATTTTCATGCAGTTTCCTTTATTTTTAAGTCTTCCTTTGGAGCCATTGTTTGGTTCATCTGTTTACCTCATGACCCATACTCATTTATTATGTGTCACATTATCTAATTCTTTGTACTACATTGGCTTGTGAGGTTTCTAGTTCATATTGAAAGTTTGGAGTGTCTAAGATTATTCGCCATTCAAAATAGATAATATTTTTAAATAGTCACATCATTTTACATCTAACCTATTTCCAGTGTTTATCAGAAGTAAAAATATGCTGCTTCAATATAAATACTGATGCTGTATATGGAATTGCATTGCATCCTTCTAGGGATACTTATGTCCAAATGAGTTTATTGCTACCCAAGGGCCATTACCGGGAACAGTTGGAGATTTTTGGAGAATGGTATGGGAAACCAGAGCGAAAACATTAGTAATGCTCACACAATGTTTTGAGAAAGGACGGGTGAGTTATATGAAATATCTTCAACAATGTGTTGTTTTATACTTACATTGACATTTGTGAAAGTTCCAGTTAGTGCCTTGTGTAGATCATCAAAGACTTTGCTATCTATAAAGTAGCTTTGCCTAAGTGTTTTTAAAGAGCAACATTATGGTGGCTGATGGTTGCTGGTTTTCTTTGGATGCAGATCAGATGCCATCAGTATTGGCCAGAGGACAACAAGCCTGTGACAGTCTTTGGAGACATAGTGATCACAAAGCTTATGGAGGACATTCAGATTGATTGGACCATCAGAGATCTGAAAATCGAAAGGGTAAAGTAAAACAAAAAAAGAGGGAATGTGGACGTGGTATAAAATATGACTGACTTAAATGTATAAAGTTAAATTCATAGCAGAATTATCCCTTGTACATAGAACAATGCATTTGACCATGCCTTCCCACTGTTTTGTAAATGTTTTGACACATGTACTGAGGCATGCACGTAACTCTCCCATTCCAAATCATGTGATTATCATATATGTCAACCGATTAACATCAAACTTATGGGTTGAAAAATAAATAAAAGAAGGAAGTAATTACTAGAATATTTGATGCATTTATCCGGTTACTCTTTATCAATAAAAAAATCTGGAGTCAGATACTGGGGTAAGAACTTTAATGATCAGAGAACAGCAGAGATGCAACCAGTGACCTCTTATCTCTTTCATTCTTCCATCCAAAAGGGCCAAGATCCTCTCTAAGCCCCACCCTACCACTTCCTTTCTCTCTAACTGTCCTCAGTCCTCCAAAGCCTCTATGGCTAATTTCAATCAACCAGTAGCTAGCTCTTCCCTCCGATTCAAAGCAAACTTTGTTATCAGAATGGGATCAAATATCACATAAGCACTGGGTTTATTTTATGTGAAAAAACTGTATTATTTAAGATATCAGTTTTCAATACAATTCATCCCTTAGTCCTGATATCTTAATGTGTATGTATGCATCGTGTGTGGGTCATTTATTTATGAACAGACTTATATGTGGTATGTACACAGGTTCACCTGTACGTGAGGGTACGTACATTTAAGTATACACGTGAATATGGAGGTCAATGGTCAAAGTTGAAAGTCTTTCATTGATTGTCACCTTTGCATTCCCAGATAGAGACTAACACTGAACCTAAAGTATACGTTTAGTCTCAGTATATTGTTTAGACTGAATGGCCAATGAGTTTCAATGCTCCACGTGTCTTTGACCCTGCCTCCCCCATGCAGCATTGGTGTTTACAGACATGCGTCACGATGCCTGGCTATTCCTGTGGTACTGGGGATCTGAAAGCTGGCTTTCATGTTCTTATGGCAGCCATCTCTCCAGCACCTGGACTTTCTTTTGAATCCAGAACTACTGCTGAAGAGAAAGTACCAGCAACCACTGTGTTATTATAGTATATAACTGCCTCGTTATGTAAGGTCTTTCCCCGTTCTGACATACTAGACACTCAGTGCCCTTGTTGTATATAAATAATGAATTTAAGTACTTTGTTGTATGTTAGTTTCAAAAGCCAAGCTCTTCAGAATGTCATTTTACATAAGAATATATTTTATGATTAACCTTCAGATCTACTTGAAGATCTTTTACTGACACCATTCATAATAACACACAACTTCCTTTCTATTTCTTTTGTTTTGTGCTGAGCATTGAACCCAGAGTCTTCTGTATGCTAAGCAAAAGCATTGTCACTAAGCTCCATCTGCAGCCGCCTTAATCCTGTTAGTAGTAACAGTAAAAGATTGTATCAGTAATTAATAGAATTTGTTCTATTTAACAAATGGACATCTTTATAAAGTCACCTGTGAAAACTAAGACATCAGTCATCTTTGTCCAGCATGTCACTCTAACTAATGGTACCACTTTTAATCTGCCACCTTGACTAGCATGGAGATTGCATGACTGTCCGACAGTGTAACTTCACTGGTTGGCCTGAGCATGGGGTTCCAGAAAATACCACCCCTATGATTCACTTTGTGAAGTTGGTGCGAGCAAGCAGAGCACACGACACTACTCCTATGGTTGTACACTGTAGGTAAGTAAGATGACAGTAGAGCCTGTCACATGCCTGCGATGGTCTTAAATCTGATGAAACCTTGTTATAATCATGATGGTATTTTATTTTCATGGAGAAGGTAGATTTAGATCCATTTCAGCTTATAATTTCCAAGCATTTTATTGGTTATGATAAACCAGTATATATCTTTCTAAACATCTATGTGACAGAGGGAAGCTGAGTGAATAGTTAATGTGTCACAAAGTAAAATTAAATCTTGGTCCTACCTCAACTTGATGTGCCATGCTTTGCTCAAGCCCATGGGAAGCCTGGTCCTTTCTTAATGGAGATGGAGAAGGAGTGGATGGGGAGGGCTGTGGATGGGAGTGTGTTGGGGTAACAGGAGAGGAGGGAGGAGAAAATGGTCAG